AAGACTTTCATGGCTAAAGAGAAGTCAGTGCCTAGCTTCAAAGCTTCAAATTGATAGACTGAATTTCTTGTTAGTAGAAACGGCATCTGGTGACTTTCAGTTGAAACCAGTGCTCGTTTACCATTCTAAAAACCGAGGGCCCTTAAGAATTATGCTAATCTACTCTACTTGTGCTCTATAAATGGAACAACAAAACCGAGATGACAGCCTATCTATTTACAGGATGGTTTATTGAATATTTTAAGCCCACTATTGAGACCTACTGTTCAGAAACAAAGATTCCTTTCAAAAGCTTACTGCTCATTGACAATGTGCCTGGTCACCTAAGAGCTCTGATAGAGATGTACATAGAAATTAATGTTGTTTTCATGCCTGCTAACACAGCATCCCTTCTGCAGCCCATGGATCAAGAAGTCATGTTGTCTTTCAAGTCTTATTATTTAAGATACATTTTTCATAAGGCTACAGCTGCCATAGATAGTGATTCCTTGATGGGTCTGAGCAAAGTCAATTGAAAACATTCTGGAAAGGGTTTACCATGCAAATGCTATTAAAAACATTCATGACTCATGGAAACAGATCAAAATATCAACATTAACAGGAGTTTGGAAGAAGTTTATTCCAACCATCATGGGTGACTTTGAGGGCTTCAAGGCTTCAGTGGAGGGAGTAACCCTAAGGTGGAGGAAGTAGCAAGAGAACTAGAATTAGAAGTGAGGTCTGAAGATGTGGCTGAATTGTAGCACCTCAATAAAAACTTGAGGGAATAAGAAGTTGCTTCTCATGTGTGAGCAGAGAAGGCAGTTTCTTGAAATGGAATCTGTTCCTGGTGAAGATGCTGTGAAGACTGTTGAAATGCCAGCAAAGGGTTTAGAATATTGCATGAACTTAGTGGATGAAGCAGCAGCAGGGTTTGAGAAGATCGACTTCAGTTTTGAAAGTAGTTCTACTGTGGTTAAAATGCTATCAAACAGCATTACAGGCTACAGAGACATTGAGGAAGGAACAGTTAGCCGATGTGAAAAACTTCATTGTTGTCGTATTTTAAGAAACTTCCATAGCCACCTCAACTTTCAGCAAGCACCATCCTGACCAGTTAGCAGCCATTACCAGGGCAAGAAGCTTCACCTGCAAAAAGATTATGATTTTATGATGGCTCAGATGATGGATAGCATTTTTAGCAATAAAGTATATTAAGTTTTGTTCATTTTTAGACATAATGCTATTATGCACTTAATAGACTACTCTATGTTGCAAATAAACTTTTTTATGCACTAGATAAAAAAAATTTTAACTCATTTTATTGCTGAATTTGCTTTATTGCAGTGATGTAGAACCAAACCTGCAGTATCTCCAAGGTATGCTTGTATATAAAGTTCTAATTTCATCACAAATTAATCCATTTTTTTGAAAGATACCTATCTTCATTTTTTTATGTGCTATCTATGGCCATATCACTCTGCAACAGCGTAGCTGATTAGTTGTTACAGACAGGAAAGGCCTTCAAAGCTCTACGGAAAGTCAGCTAACCTTGCTTTAGAGTCTGTGATTATGAATTTTGACAACTACACTTTCTGTTTCATGTGGTAGAATATTTCTTCTTGTTTTGATTCATTTATGTTTCTTAATTATGATCTTTATTTACCACTACATTGATCTCTACCAAATGTTGTGTTATATTACCACTGCAAAACAAATTACTTTCTGTTGAAATTAAGCACTTAACAGAATTTGAAATAGCCATTAAAATAATGTCAGACTTGTCTTTGGAAGGAAAAAGAAAACCCTCCAAACCCTCTACTTACATCCATGTTTTGAATTTTAAAAATAATGAAATTAACTGATACTCTTTGTGAGTTTCTAAGTATGACAATATAAAATTAGAAGTCATTGAATTTTTTGTGAAGTCCTGTTTTTAATGAAACCAGATCATTAAAGACAGGCAGAACTTCTTAGTATGTTTATGTTAAATCATGAAATACAGAAAGGGTATAATCAGATTAAAACTGTCATTTTTGGGATAAGCCTTATCTGAGAGAGGATATAGTAATACATCATTGGATGTATGTATGTTTGCCATCAGTACAGCTGTTTTGTCAAACATAAACAAACCCAGATAAGGCGAGACTTCATACAGAAAAGCTAGTGAACAGGATGAGTGCTGCTCTCTCAGGAATTGTAAGTGTCTCAGAATCAAACTGAAAAATTCTTATTTTTTAAAGGAAAAAATAAGGAAGGGGAAGTTGAGCAAATGAGAGTGAGTCAGCCGAATGAACAATCAGCATGGCTGACAGGAAATGTGTGTCACCACGGTCAGCTGATTCGGGGATAAGCCCATGAGAGGACACGTTGCTTAGCTCAGTGCTTGCTCAGGCTTGGGGGTTTAAGGGGCGACCTGAAGTTCAGAGACCTGTGGCTGTGAGGGAAACCTGACTTTGGTCAGTTGTGAACCCCTGGTCAATATTAAAATTGACTAACTGCTTTTTAAATAAGTACTAACAGTTGGTGAGCAGATTGTGATTTAGGCTTTTCATCATGATGGGATACACAACCCAGTGATTGATGATAAATTTTGAAAGAAATTTTGGAAATAGTATGTATTCATCATCAATTTTCATTTGAAATAGATATTAATAAATGTTGGAGAGAAAAAAATTAAAAATGTTCATACTCAGAATAGGCATGTACAAAAGGCTAAAATATTCTACTGACACACTATGTACTAAGCTTTTCTATTTTATAAAGAAATCTCAAAAACTAGCCTTTAGCCAAAGACCAATCCTGGCTATTAAGGCACTAGACCAGTGATAAAAAATGAAAATATAAGACAAGTACTTACATAATTTTAAATGTCATGTTTCCTTATTAACTGTAGAACTCAATATTGCAAATAGATTAATTCTCTCCAATTTGAGCTATTGATTCAGGCATTCCCAATCAAAAACTAGAAGTTATTTTTATAGATATTGACAAACTAATTCAAAATTATATGGAAAAGCAAAATACCAACTAGAAGAAGAAAGAAGTCCTGAATATAAAGAATAAAGTTGGAGATTCATAGAAATTGATTTCAGTGTTATCTGAATGTTATATTAATCAAGATTATCATTTTGGCAAAAGGATGAAAAATTAATGTAACAGAGTGGAAAGCTCAAAAGTAGATCAACACAAATATTGTCAACTAATTTTTGACAAAGTTTCAAGACCAAGAAAGGACTGTCTTTTCAATAATGTTTTTTGGAATAACTAGATTCCATATGCAAAAGTTATCAACCACAACATACACCTCATACCTTATGATTTGTGTATATATTTATTTTTATTATGAGATATAAATCC